AAGGGACACAAGTGCAGTATCATTCGGGACCATTCGGGACAGTGCCCGGTCCAATACTGAGAGAATATTGACTGGCAATAGAGCATTTTGATTGGTTGATTTTAGTTATTGGCCCTCTGACTGCCCTAGTCGTGTAATAAGGCATACATATTTGAGGACATCGACTACATCTATTGGGCTTGGAGTCACCTGTTATCAAGTGTTTTCGACGAACACGCGCCAATTAACGTAGAACAATAAATCGTGAGCTCGTACCATTTATGACACCTGAGCTACTCGAGGCAAGCAGGAAACGCGATAAATTAAAGCGCCTTTACAACAAGTCTAAGTGCCAGCTAGATTGGGACAGATATAAGACTCAGCGAAACTTTGCATCTTCATTGAGACGTAAGGCTGTATCCAACTATTTTCGCAACGGCCACTGCCGCAGATGCCAAAGGCAACCCCAAGAAATTTTGGCAAACGGTCAAGCCTTTCATGCACTCAAAGAAAAACATCACCCAGGACTCCATTCATCTTAAATAAGGTGATAGCCTTGTTGTTAACAAACTGGAAGTAGCACAATTTTTCATCCTTCTTGAAGGACAATGATAGAGATGGGCATTACAATGATAATTCCGGTTTTACTAGTGTCCAGGCATCTCGGCCATACAGACCCGCTGTGTTGGGGGAGAAGCTTTCCAGTTTCGTTTTGTACTGAGTCCACCTGAAGTCGAACTTGTACTTAAGTCACTAGGTCCGAAAAAAGCAACTGGCTATAAGATACCGCCAAGAACATCATGATTGCGGGATGGTGCTGATACTCTTGCTTGTCCGATATCTGTTCTTATTAACAAGATCATTGACTCTGGCTCTGTGCCAGCTGCTTGGAAGCTGGCCGAAATCTGTCCCATCTTCAAAAAGGATAATTCTCATGATGTAAAATCTAACTTTCGGCCAGTTTCGATTCTAGTTAGTCTGGATAAAGTTTTTGAGAAGTGTCTTGCACGCCAACAGTCTCTGATCATTTTAGACCGATCTTGTCACCATTCCTGTCTGCGTACAGACGGGGTTACAGCTGTGAGGCGGTACTTCTACGTTTGATCGAGGATTGGAGGAATGCACTTGACAATAAGCGTGTTGTTGGCGCAGTTTCTATGGATCTGAGTAAAGCCTTTGATATGATACCGCATGACCTCATCCTCGCCAAGCTGGCTGCCTACGGTGTTTCTCCAGTCAACCTGCCCCTCCTACACAGTTACCTTAGAGATAGGTCCTAGCGTGTCAGGATAGAAGATGTAACCTCTGATGTTGTTGTTTTTTCTAAGGATGTACCCCAGGGATCGGTATTATGGCTCCTCTCTTTTAATATTTATCTTAATGATCTGTTCTATTTTATCAATCGTGCTAATTTGTCTAATTATGGTGATGATAACCAAATTTATTTCAGTGATCGCGATCCTGAGGTGGTAAAGTCCGTAATTAATGGCGATCTCGCTGTTGCGAGTCGTTGGTTGGACAATACTACGTTAGTGCTCAACCCCGAGAAATGTAAATGCATTATTCTTCCAAAAAGCTATCCTTGTGATCTTACCTTTAGTATTAATTATGTACAGGTTCCTATCGTAGACAATTTAGAACTTTTAGGCGTAACCATCGATAACTCGCTAAATTTTAGTAAACACATTGGCAAGATTACTAAGAAAGTTGGAAATCAGTTAGATGTTTTGAGTAGGCTAAAGAACACGCTATCAGTTTATTCAAAGATGTGCCACTACAACTCGTACGTAATGTCTTATTTCACTTACTGTGCTGCGATCTGGCATAATTGCAATGAGTCTGAAAAGCAGAAGGTGGAAAGGCTTAATGTGAGAGCTCTAAAGTGTGTCTACAACAAACGGGTGCCCCTACATGGTGATGACTACGCCTTAACTTTGTCTAATCGTCGTCTACAGGACTTTGCCATATTAATTTTTAAAGCTGTAAACGGTATGTTACCTGGATATTTACGTGACTTGTTCGTTGTACGTAATAATGTGAAGTGCTTGAGAGGCACCAACAAGCTTGTTGTCCCACATAAGAAAACTATAAACTTGGGCTTAAAATCTACAACTTTTATTGGTGCCAAAGTGTGGAACTCTTCACGGGACGAATTACGTTCAATGGCAACCCTTAAGGATTTTAAGAATGCTATAAGAGAGTTAAATGCTATAAGAGAGTTCAGAATGTTAGTTATTAATTATGTAATGTCCTGTAAATTTTTTTTTAAAATTTTTATACTTTGCCCGGCATATTAGCATGTATTACTAGGGGCCTATGTAGCCTCAACAGCCCGAGTTGAAATAAAGCTACCTACCTACCTACCTACCCACCTACCTACCTACCTACCTACTTACCTACCTACCTACCCACCCACCTACCTACCTACCTACCTACCCACCTACCTAGTGTTTAATCAGATCCAGCCTTGTTTGACTGAAGATGAATGCTGAGAGTGGATGCATTTTCTTTGCCAGAACATAACGAGCAATCTTGAGAAGGGGGATACAAGTATAGGCTTGGGTAGCCAATCAGAATGCAGTGAATAGCACTCTGCTGCAGTGAAATAATATATTATATGAATACATGGCCAGTACCAAAAGCTTCATTAATTTAAATTTCCGATGCTATAAATATAAAGGATGTTAATAGAAAGCTGGCAGTGCCCGTGGGCAATATGAAATGAATCCTGTGTTCTAATTGACTTCCAGTATAGGCAAGATGGGCCCATCTTGTCCGCTCGGGATTGCCCGATTTGATCCAGCGCAAATAAAGAGTTCATGAAGCAGACTTACAAAATTAGTAACTTTTAGACAATAACGTTGACAAAGTAGCAAAACATGGTAGAAGACAATAAAAACAAAGAAAACATAAAAGACCCTCGTGGGTTTATTGTACTACAAACACAGTTCCCTACTCTTTCTCTCTCTCTCTTTCTAAAGTAACAAATATTCGCATCACACAATGATGTTTTATTATTAAATGGGACTAACCTTTAACATACTTCTTACTATGTAATGAACTAAGCCTAAATGCAACTAAAATAGCTTGGTGATGATAAAATTGGGTTATTAAAAAAATTTGTCACAATTGCTATTTTTACTGAACTTTTGAGAAAAAAATCAACTTAAATGACAAAACAGAACATGTTTGTTGAGCAGCAATGGAGCTTGTTCTCTATTGAGGTTTACTGTTTTTACTTTCCTAATTTTCCTTTGCAAGAAGATGAAGCCACTAAAGACATGAGCTTTAACTTGAACCCAATTAAACATGTTAATGCTGCATCAGCAAAAGCTATCTTAACAACTGCACCCAGGTTTGAAAGCATTTATAATTACTATACCTCTTCAGATTTCTTATTGCACATGCAGATGCATACTAGATTTAGGTGCGCTGTCGCAACCATGGAGATTTCCCACACCAGTACAATTTTGTAATCTTTTGAAACCAGATACTTGTTTTCTTTGTACAGTTTTAGTTGACTGATGGACATGTGAACATTGACTGCAATAATCGCATGTACATAAGACTTTGGTCAGTCCTTTTTCAAAGCAAAGATGAAGAAATAGGTTTACAATACGAGGTCAATTTTGTTATATAAGGACAAATCAATTAAAGAAATCAATTGGCGAATCAATACAAGTCTTGAAGTTTATGACACGTGCCATTAGAACTCACAAGAGATTCTAGGACTTTCAAAGAATTTATGCCACTTGTGTCAATTTTACCAGATCAAGACCTATCTGGTCTGAGTTTTAAAGAAAACCTCTGTCTACTTTTTCCTCAATACCCTGGTGTAATATAAACCAACAATGGCAACCAAACACTTGCAAACACAGGGAGAGATTACGAATGTAGAAAGCATTTCTTTGCCAAAACTATTTATCTCTAGCAGAGGGTTCTGTCATTAAACTTAATAAACAGAATACATCACCCTCCCCCCCTCCACATCAGTTTTACTGCTTCTAGTAACTGAAAATTTTACGTCTCTGAAGCGACCTCGCATGAATTCAAAATCTCTCTTGGTATTCTCAGACAAGAAATGCGGAAGTTATCAACAATATCAGGAAATCTGCAACAATATACCCACTGCTTTGTGATAGAATCATAAATGTGTAATTTCAAGATAGTTCCTTGTGTATCATCTGCACATTCACCAGACACAAATATTGTCCCTTTGAAACTAATTGCACTTAGCCACCGCAATCGTAAAGCAAGGAATGCAGGACTTGGAATGCTACTCCACTTGTCAACAACAGGGTCATACATTTCAGCAAAGGTTGAAACCGACACACCTGACCACTTAAGACCGCCAAATACAAACACTTTCTCACTGACAGCTGCACCAACAGCACCTCCTCTTTTTTCCAGAGTTGGAGAAATTCTAGCCCATGTTTTTTCTTTTGGATCAAATCTTTCAGCAATAGCCACAAATCCATGTATTGTATTGCCTCCAACTGCATACAAGAAACTTCCATCAGACACAGCACAGACACTTGATCTTGGGAAGCTTAGTGAAGGCATTTCTTGCCATAAATCTTTATCTGGGTCATACCTTTGTACAGAGCTCAAGAGATTTTCATCTTCATCAACTCCACCAATCACATAGAGAAACCCTCGGCAAGTTGAGACAGTACAAAACTTGATTCTCTTCTTGAACGATTTCAGTGAACACCACTTGTTCTGGGATGGATCATAAAACTCTGCTGGAAAGCCACCACTGTTGCCTCCAATGAAAAACAGCTTTCCCTGGCAATAACTAACATTTTGACCATATAAATTTCGTAAGGTCAGTGTATTGGCCAGTCTGTACCATTTCTTTGTTAAGGGAATGTAGCATACGGTTCTTCTAGCTCCACAAGCCACAATAGCATCTTCATGTGTTTTCAGACAATTCCTTGGTGCCTGAGCGAAAAAAGATTCTAGTTCTCCACGAAACATCATTCTCATAGCATTTAAAGCGAAATTTGAACAATCAAGATTGTTCTTTACCATAGGATCAGGTACAAGAGCTTCCAGAAAGAAGTCACGCGGCAAGTACATAAATCGAATGTGACGAAACAATTCGTAAAAGTTTTGCTCTTGACTTTTGTTTGCTGCGATCCAATTTCTCAAGATTATAAACACTTCTTCCTCTCCACGTACATTTATTTCGTCACTGGAGATCCACCCCAAGAATTGCTCTTTGCTCAAACTCAGAAAGTCTTCCGTTTTCGCTACGGTGACGAAGTTTTCTAGAATGAAAACCCTTGCACCTTTCTTGAGCTCTTCACACTGGTACTTCACGCTCAAGAAGTAAGCTGGAATGCAGTTGGAAAGAGACATTCCACGTAAAATAACTTGTGCACACAGATCTTTCAAGCTTGTTATCATAAGGTAATCTGCCACGACCAGCAAATCAAAAGAAACTGTTTCACTCACGTCTGTGTGTCCGGTGTACAGATCATTACTCCAAAACTTTCTCCATCACCTCTTGGCTGGATTGTTCCAATCTGATCACACCTTCTTTCTTTTCTTTCATTTCACTGTTCAAAGCATTGTTGAAGAACGGACTTCCTGCACATAACACGATTCTGTGCGCTTTCAGACACGCCCTATCGTCGCTGGAGCCAACTTCTAGAATCACATCGCAAAACTGCTCTTTCTCTCTCTGTATATTGAGGCGGTTCATCATTTCCACGCAGAACAAATGCGTCTCAGTCTCTGCGACAGGCTCTTGCAAGCTTGAGGAAGCCATTTTGAAATGCAGAGAATTGTGGGTAAGAAATTATTGCCAACGAGCCAGCCGAGCGAAGACGCGAGGCTGGCGAGGCGGCAGCATTATAGAGCCGTGCGAGAGTATTGTACAGGCGGAAAAAATCTCGAGTGATTGTAAGATGTCTGTAAGGTAAGATTCCTGAGATTCCAATGACGTAATGTGAATAGGCTTTGTTTTGCAACGGACCAATGGTAGCGCGCAAAGATCGTGACGTCAAGTCCACATGGTGCTTATCGTGGACGCTTAGCAGCTTTGTCATTTATCGAGCGGAGGAGCGAGCAAGTTTGAGGTAAGAAAATTGTATTTTTCACCTACCTTTGTAAGTTTTATTTCCAATTCTGCGTGAGTGCACTTAAGTTAAGTGCCTTTGTGGTATAATTATCGAGTTAGCAAGCTCAGTAACCGGCCAGTGTGCCAAAGTCGGCCAGTGTGCCAAGTTGACGAGTGTGTCAAAGTCGGCAAGCGTGCCAAATGTAGACAACGCCAGCAGGCATAGAGCAATCAAAGAAACTGAGAAACCACCGAATTAAACAAAACAAAGCTCAAACAAACGATAATCGTAGCAAACTAGCGGCCAGTAAGCCAACTTTGACACCATTAGCGAGCAGAAAGCAATCAAAGTTGTAGCAAACTAGCGGCGGCGAACGAGCCACACGTGAGAGTGCCAAAGTCGGCAAGGGTGCCAAATCTAGACAACGCCAGCAGGCATAAAGCAATCAAAGAAACTGAGAAACCGCTTGAAACTGTATTCAAACAAAACAAACGATAGTTTTAGCAAACTAGTGGCCAGTGAGGCAACTTTGTCACCATTAATAGCGAGCAGTTAGACAACGCCAGCAGGCATAAAGCAATCAAAGAAACTGAGAAACCGCTTGAAACTGTATTCAAACAAAACAAACGATAGTTTTAGCAAACTAGTGGCCAGTGAGGCAACTTTGTCACCATTAATAGCGAGCAGTTAGACAACGCCAGCAGGCATAAAGCAATCAAAGAAACTGAGAAACCGCTTGAAACTGTATTCAAACAAAACAAACGATAGTTTTAGCAAACTAGTGGCCAGTGAGGCAACTTTGTCACCATTAATAGCGAGCAGAAAGCAATTAAAGTTGTAGCAAACTAGCGGCGAGCTAGCCACGAAAGAGTGCACTCGTCATTGGCCACTGAACCAACTTTGTCACCCCACAAACAAGCTGAAAACAATCGAAGCAACTGAGATTCAACTTAACTTAAGCTTGAGTTAAATTCAAAGGAAACCTAACGCGGCGGAAGTGCATTGGAGAGCGAGCAAGCTGCAATAATCAACTGTCAGCTCGATCAATTCTTTCGACTGTTATTAATATCAAGCGTATCACGAATTTTTGAAGCACAGACTTTTTGCCCACTAAAATACAAGGTACACCTAGAGCAATAAACCGCACAAAAGTTTGAAAATGATGTGGCTATTGTTTATGTTGCTACTCTTTCCCAATCGTACTGCCCACAATAATCTGTTAGAATTGGGGAGTGTGTGCCCAAAATGCAGCATGATCTATTTCAGATTTAGGGGGAGATACTTGTCAAGGCGAATAGCTTATCCTTCTAATGGTAGTTTTAATCCCTTCGTTATTTCAAACAAGGAGGCACACATTGTGAATGGGAACATAAATTCAGAAGTGTTGGAAGAAAAACGCAATGCAATATGTAATAGCACTGATAGTAATTCTACATACATGTGTGAAGGATCAAATGTAAGAGATCACTTTCGTAATTATTGTTTGACCAACGTAGGGAAGTTTTCTTGTGCAGTTGATTGCTTTCTTGAGCTATGTTATTTTGTTTTTCGCAATCATCTTCAAAACATTACATGCAATGATTTTTTTCAAGTTATCTCTGAGGCGTGCAATCAAAGGGCAATTGTTGGTGCTGTTGATGTTGTGCGAGAGCCTATATGGTCACTGATCAGAGGTCGTTGCCCATCATTTTCTTCAATGACTGCAAATGCTGTTTTTAGTGACATATTTACCATGCAAGCATTTGGGGATTTAACCAGTGATTTGAAATCATTATTTCTTATTCAACAATGTAATCAGACTTGCTGCACCCTGTGTAACAATCAAATATTGAAAACTACTAGCACTATTGTCTTGTATATTACTTGTCCAAATATTCTGCCCACTGAATTTGAAAACTGTGTTTCAGAAGCTGCTTTGCCTAATAGCAGACCACTTTTTTGTGATGCATGTCAAAGGCATTCTGGTGATATTTCAGGTTTGCAACATTTTGTTACCATGCCAAAATTTTTACACATTGAATTATCATCAATTTCTTTTGGTCAAACTGTTCTACCAGCAAGTATGGAACTCTTAGGTACATTTTACTTATTAAAAGCTGTTGTGCGGTGTGCAAGCCACCATTTCACTATTGCTATAAACAATGGTCGTTATTGGTTTTATTATGATGATCTCTGTAGTGCAGTTCAGCAATATGCTACATTTCAAGATATTTTGAATGTTTACGCCAATGGATGGTATTTTGCTGTTTATGAAAGCTCTGTTGATAACATTATTAATATACATCAAGGCATTGATTCCTGTACATTAATGCCAGACCATTCTTATTCAAAATTAGAGGATAAAGAACGCCAAGCCTGTGATGATTTTGGGAAAGAAGTTTGCACACCCAGAAAACGACAAAGACCAGAAACAAATACTGACAAATTGATAGATAGAAAAAGAAAGCTGAACTTAAATGTAGTAAATCCACATTTGAAGAATTACAAAATTGCTAAAAAAGCCAAAGAGACAGAGAGTGAAAAACTTTCTAGACAAAAAAAGCAAAAAGAATATATGAGGGCATACAGAAGGAAAATAAAGGATTATGAGACAGGGGAGGAGAAGCAAGCACGATTGATAAAACAAAATGTGCAAAAGTGGAACTCTAGACAGAAAAAGGAAGACAATACATTTGATGTAATTAAACCAGTAGGAAAATTTACAGC